TGAGCGGGAGCCGGTCTGTATGTGGGATCCGAACCCTCGGGCGGCAGCGCTGCCGCGCCTCCTAAGCGGCGCACTATCCAGTGCGCCACTGGGCCGGCCCCCCATATGTCGTTTTTGCTTTTATTACCTGTACTTTAGAAATCTTCTCCATAAAATTTTGTTCAGACCAATGTCTTGGAGCGTCTCCCCTGTTTTCTTCAAGCAGTTTTACACTTGAGTATCTTACATTCAAGTCTTTAACCCATTTTGAGTTGATTTTTGCATATGGTGAAAGATAGGAGTCTAGTTTCTTTTTTCTGCATATGGATATCTCCGTTTCCCAGCACCATTTATTGAAGAGGCTGTCCTTTCCCCAGTGTATGTTCTTGACATCTTTGTCAAAGGTCTGTTGACTGTAGACACATGGTTTATTTCTAGGTTCCATTGGTTCATGTGTCTGTTTTTGTGCAGGTACCATGCTGTTTGGGCTATTATAGCTTTGCAGTGTATTTTGAAGACAGGCGGTGTGATGCCTCCAACTTTGTTCTTTTTCCTCAAGATTGCTTTTGTGGTTCAATATGAATTTTAAGATTTTTTTTTTTTTTCTATTTCTGTGAAGAATGTCATTTGGTATTCTGATAGGGATTGCATTGAATCTGTAGATTATTTTGTGTAGTATGGTCGTTTTGATAATATTAATTCTTCCAATCCATAAACGTGGAATGACTTTTCATTTTTTGTGTGTAATCTTTAATTTCTTTCATCAGTGTTTTGTAATTTTCATGGTAGAGGTCTTTCATCTCCTTGGTTAAATTTTTTTGTAGGTATTTTATTTTTTTGGTAGCTATTGTAAATGGGATTGCTTTCTTGATTTATTTTTTGCTGGTTTGTTGTTGGTATGTAGATTGCTACTGATTTTTGTATATCAGTTTTGTATTCTGCAAATTTACTGAATTTGTCAATCAGATCTAAGAGTTTTTTGGTGGAGTCTTTAGTTGGTTTTTCTGTATATAAGATCTTGTCATCTACAAACAGGGACAACTTGACTTCCTCTTTTCCAATATGGATGCCCTTTATTTATTTCTCTTGCCTAATTGTTCTGGCTAGAACTATGTTGAATAAGAGTAGTGAAAGTGAGCATCCTTGTCTTGTTCCTATTCTTAGAGGAAAAGCTTTCAACTTTTTCCATTTTAATATTATGATAGCTGTGGGTTTGTTATATGTGGCCTTTACTGTGTTGAGGTAATTTCTTCGATACCTAATTTGTTGAGAGATTTTGAAGATAAACATCATCCCTTCATGAAGGGATGTTGAATTCTATCAAATGCTTTTTCTGCATCTATTGAAACAATTATATGGTTTTTGTCCTTCATTTTATTGATGTGATGTATCATATTTATTGATTTGCATATGTTGAACCATCCTTGCATCCCTGGGATATATCCTGCTTGATTATGGTGTATAATCTTATTTATGTGCTGTTGAAGTCTGCTAGTATTTTGTTGAGAATTTTTGCATCTATGTTTTTCAGGGATATTGGCCTGTAGTTTTTGTTGTTGTGTCCTTGCCTGATTTTGGTATCAGCATGATGCTGGCCTCATAGAATGAGTTTGGAGAATACCCTCAGCTTTGATTTTTTGGTGTAGTTTGAGAGGAATTGCTATTAATTCTTCTTTTAAAAGTCTGGTAGGATTCAGCAGTGAAGCCATCTGGTCCTGGGCTTTTCTTTGTTGGGAGACTGCTGATTACTGATTTAATCTTGTTACTTGTTATTGGTCTGTTCAGGTTTTCTATTTCTTCTTGGTTTGGTCATGGTAAGTTGTGTGTATTCAGAAATTTATCCGTTTCCTCCATATTTTCCAATTTGTTGGTGTATTGTTGTTCATAAGTCTGAACGTTTTAGGTTTCAATCTTGAAGCCCTGTCATTATTCTCTGTGAATTGAACATCGATTTTTTTCCTTTAACTTTTGAGAAACCTGCAGCATTTTTATTAATTTCACTCATAAATACTTAAATGTGGTTTGTTCATATCTTTATTATCTAGTCATTTTAAAATTTTCTTTTCCTGCCATTAGATTTTCCTGCTGTTAAGATCACATGCAAATGCCTGTCAAGAATACATTCAGATCTCTCACAAAAAACACAGGCACATAAAAAAGGGTAGAAAGCAAGGGAAGGGGAGAAAGGCAATAGGCAAAGAAACAGAGCATATTCAATGTCTAACACTTGCTATCTGCCGAGTGAGATCAGTTTTCTGTGCTGATTTTGGGATGAGAGGGTCCTGATAATGTTTATCTTCATGGCTAAATTTAGACTAACTTGAGAGTTACCTAGAGTTTTTAAGGGAGTTACTTATATTCACTGGTATTTTGCTTATATTTTTCTTTTTCTTAGGTAATAAGATAACAACTTAGATAATTTTTGTTGTTAAATGCAATTCTGTTATTCTACTCTAACATTGGAATTATGCTATATTTAACATTTGATTTTTTTGAGTGTACTTCAGAAAGTTTGTGGAGAAATTTATATTATCTTTTAAATTCTATTTTTCCATGAACTTTTTGAAGTACCCTCATATTATAAGGACAAATTAGAAGCAATGGGCTTAACAGTATAGTATAGGCAAGGATTTTTAACATACTGTCAGTTTTGGAAGAAAAATGGAAAAACCAATATAAATTTTAGTATGTTTTTAGGGTGATATTAAGGATTTTTCCTTAGGAAATTCCCATGTCTGGCTAAAATGTCAACTTCTTGAAAGAGGGAATAGCTACTGCTTTTCTAATAGGTCACCTCTTAGCAGTACAGTTCATCTAATACAGTTGAATAGATAATTTTCTCTCTGGTTTCAATTTTTCTTATGCTGTTTTCTGTTCACAATGAGGTAAGTGGGCCACATTTTCTCTGTCAGAATAATATAAATACATGATGCTGTTTATTAGAAAGTACCATGGGCTTCCTCAGAGAATTCTTTCAAGATATGGTTCCTTCTAATTTTATTTGACAAGTAAAATTCTGTCTATTGTTGTGTTGCCTTTAAAAAGCACGCCAAAATGTGCAGCCTTTTAGGAGAATTCAAGAGATATTCAGGATTCACTTCTCTTCCTTTCCTGTTTCTTTCTTTTGTTTTGGGGGGTGGAGAAGGAGGAGAGGGAGTTTTAAAAGTCACCCAAGAGACAAGTCATTTATATCCGTTTATTATGATTGTGTGAGCTGGGATCTACTACAGCTTACCATCTTCTCATACACACATAGAACATGTTTACTTAATATTTTGCAAAAAACTTCTCTGTAAATCCTTGTCTACATTGCATACCTGCTTTTTTACGAACCTGGTGGGAGTAGCATCGTATAAAAAGAGAGCACAGGTTTAGAGCAGTGTTTCTCAAAGTGAGGTTTATGAATCAACTACCTCAAAAACATCTGGTGTTCCTGCTGAAAGTCCAGTGTTTTTGGCTGTACTCCAGATTTACTGAATCAGAATTTCTGTGTATGGAGCCCGGAAATCTGAAGATTTTAATAATGATCCTGTGTAGTACCTTATGCACATTAAAGCATGAGAATCCACACTGCTTTGGAGTCACAATAATAAATGGTTTGAATCTTTGAATATAATGTAAATGGTACCCTCTGTGGTTCTGCCAGTACTCTGTTAACAGGGATTAGCTATGTGACAGGCAAATTATTTCATTTTAAATGAAATGTTTTAATATCACTCCTTCTGTGATTGTCAATAGTATTTGTCATAATATTCCTGAAAGACTGTAGGATCCCCAAATACCCTTTAAATCACTGGAGAAAAACTAAATCATGTTCAGTATTATAATTGAGGCTGAGTATATTTTATTACATTTTATTCATAGCCTTAAAATATTTATAATTCAAATACAGACTACATTGTTAACCATCTGTAGACAAAAATCATGATTATTCAAGTACTGTATTCCCTGACTAGGCCACATAAGAAAAGCTAAAATATATGTTAAACATTTGTGATACCTCTGATTCTTTGATTCCGCTTTGGTGAGGTGTTAACATAGGAGATTCTGCTCTTACCACAATCACTGTTTGTTTATCCATGTGAGTGATTTATCATTGATACAAGTATTGGAATTTTTTCTTTAAATTCCTAGAAAGTTTTGTTTTACTTTGAACATTTTGATTTTTGATTTTATTAGTCTTTTTTTCCTGCTGATTTTGGATTTATACAATAAGTCAGTTTTCAACATTTACTGAATACTTGTTTTTGGTAGACTTTGTCTAGAAGCCAGGAAAGATTGAATATGCCACAGTCCCTGTCCTCGGGATCTTGCAGAATCATGGGTTGTGATGGAGGAAAGGGAAGATAACAGTAAAAAGCTGTATTATCCAATGTTAAGAGCTCTAATAAATGGGGACTAGAGTTGTAGTGGTTAGGTTTGTAAGAGTTACTCGGATTTCGCTGGAATGTAGTATACAGCCAGGATCTAACCTGTGTTACCTCTGCCTCTGAGCCTCTGTTTCCTTTCCTTACCTCTCAAAGGGGGTTCTGCCCCTATGCAGGAGTAGTAAATAGGAAAATATATGAAATAGTATTGCCCAAGCAAGCACTTGTAAGTGATGGCTGTGTTATAAAGTATTACTCTAACAGAAAATTAGTGTAAGAACTTAAAGGAGTACATACACATGCGCTACAAATAACATATGTATATTTGTCAGTTATATATGAACAGACAATTATTTGGAAACTCTGTCGCATATGTAATGCTGGTTGCAAAATGATTCATTTTACTTACCATTTCAGGTACCAAAGCAGTCAGATTCACAGCCTAATTCTGATAACCTAACTCGCCAGGGTGAATGTGGGAAGAAGCAAGTATCTTACAGAACTGATATTGTTGGTGGTGTACCAATCATTACTCCAACTCAGGTAAAAATTCTTTATTGTGTGAGAGCCTAATTACTGTATATTGATTTTTGTATTGTTATCAAAATAGTATGTCTTTACTGGATTATTACAATACCCAGTTACTACAAAAACTTTTATTTTTGTTTCTTATTTCAAAAGTATATGTTTATTGTAAAAAACTTGGAAATCACAGATAAACTAAGCACTTTTCATATTTTTTCTGAGCCTTTCTTCTGTGTATTTCCACACACACCCCACCCCCCGAGGTGGAGATATAAGTTATATACTAGATTTTGTAAATAACTTTTTTCACTTATATCATGAGCATTTTCTAAGTCATCGGGAATTATTCTACATCATTTTTAATGACCACATAGTAGTTCTGCCATGGATTTACCATAATTTACAAATCCTATGTTGTTGGGCAAATAGAGTTCTTTTTCCTTTTTCTTTCATTTTTCCTTTGTAAACAATGCTGTGATGAACATTCTTGTAGCTTAAACTTAAGAGACATAGATGATATTTTTTAAAGGGTAAATTCATAGAAATAAAATTGCTGAGTCAAAGAGTTTGCAAATATGTGTGATTTTTTAAACCTGTTTTTTCTATAACCTGGCCTAGGTGAGGTAAACAGGACTAGAATTTTGACTTAATTCTACCCCAAGAGTACTGATGTGCTAAATTAAGTCTCATTTGGGTATTATGAAAAATACAAATTTATAAATAATTTTTGATGAAATTAAAACTTTTGCGTGAGGTTAAATGTCTTTGTTGCTATTGAGGGAATGAGTTTGTAATGCAAATTAAATTACTGATAGTTGAGAAACCAAGAATTTTAATGTGAGTGATTGGTATTGCCAGTGTTGGACATTTTCATTACCTGTGTGCCTTTTTAACTTAAAAGACTTTGACGTTTTATAAACTTTTAAAATCGAATGGTGTTATACCCCATATTTTTTCAGGTCTCTGCCAGGGGAGGGTAATTAGTGGAAAGAGATTTTACAACATTAGTTAATAAACTATAGATTGCTATTTTTATTCTTGGCAAAGGGTATATTAATGAACAAAAATCCCTGCTCTAATGGAAGCTTACATTTTTCACCAAAGTTGGATACATAATAAGCTAGGATTCTGTGTGTTTTTTCACCTGTATTGTGACTTGCATTGACATACAGAACAAGAGTATTTATCTGTAGTTGTCCTAAAATATTGTACTAGTTTATATGTGTGGCTGTTTTAATTTTGTGTAGAATTAAGATTGTGTTGCACTTTAATTTTGGTATAGATATTTCAGTAGGTTCTAGGATTTTATGGGAGCTGCCATTACAAAAAAATCCCAATGAATTTTATTGCTTTATTATTTTGCAGTATAATTTTTAAAAATTACAAATTAGCATTTACTTATTTATAAGTGTTTAGACAATATAGTATCAAGGAAATGTTAAAACTCATTTTCATGATTGATTTATTCAGAAAAATTGGGTAAGCAGTGAGTTAGGTACTAGGATTACAAAGTTAAGTACATAATTAATGTTGACTCATCTAAATGTAGAATGGGTTCAAAATTCCTCAAGATATGTATGACTCAGGACTTAGTTTTTCTCTTGAAATTTAGGAGTTCTTGAAAATACACCTTGGGCTTATTTGTGGGATTCTAGATTATCAGATGTTATAAATAAACAGAAAACCAATACTTTGAGAAATATGGAAAACTGGGTATAGTTTTTTTAAATCACTGGACTTACATGTAAAACATAAAACTATAATTCTTTTAGAAGAAAGGATAGGAGAAAATCTTCAGGATCTAGGACTAGGCAAAGAGTTTTTCCCTTGATATCAAAAGCACAATCCATGAAAGGCAAAAATTGATAATTTAGACCTTATCAAAATTAAAAATATTTTTGTGAAAGACCCTGTTAAGAGGATGAAAAGAAAAGCTACAGAAAACAGGGATTAAATATTTGCAGACCACATATCCAACAAAGGATTTGGATTTAGAACATATAAAGAACTCCCAACAGTAAAAAACCAAGAAATTCAGTTAGAAAATGGGCAGAATTCATTAACAGACATTTCACTGAAAGATAAAAGATATACTGATGGAAAATAAACACACGAAAGGATGTTCATCATCATTAGCCAGTAGAGAAATGCAAAGTGAGACTCCAGGGGGATATCATTGCACACCTATCAGGATGGCTAAAATAAAAATTAGTGAAAACACAAATGCTGACAAGGATGATGAGAAATTGGATCTCTTGTACATTTCTCGTGGGAATGTAAAATAGTACAACCACTCTGAAAACCAGTTTGGCAGGGTTTTTTTTTAATATATATATATATATATATATATATAAAAGTAAACTTACAGGTACTATACAACTCACCATTCACACTCCTAGGCATTTATCCTAGAGAAGTGGAGAGTTATGTTCATACAGAAACCTGTACATGAATATTCACAGCAGCTTTATTTCTAACAGCCAAAAGCTGGAAATAACCCAGATGCCCTTTAATGGGTGAATAGTTAAACAACTGGTAGAACATCCATACCATGGAATATAGCAATAAAAAGGAATGAAGTATTGATACAAGGAACAATCTGGATGAATCCCCGAAGAATTATGCTGAGTGAAAAATGCCAGTCTCAAAAGATTACCCACTGTACGCTTCCATCGAGTTATATTCTCAAAATGTCAAAATTATGGAGGTGGAGAAGAAATAAGTGGTTGCCAAGGGATTAAGGGTAGGAGCTCTATAGGGGAAGCACAAGGGAGCTTTATGGTGGTGGTTACACAAATCTACACATGTGGTAAAATTGCATAGAACTGTCAGTACACACTTAGACAAATGAGTGCATGTAAAACTGGAGAAATCTGAATAGAGTTTGTGGGATGCACCAATGTCAGTTTCTTGGTTTTGGTAATGTACTCTAGTTACGCAGTTTCCCTGTTGTGGAAAACTGGTTAAAGGGTCTATAGGACCCCCTGTACATTTTTTGGGGGGTTGGGGGGGTGCAACTTCCTGTGAATCTATATAATTATTTCTAAATAAAAAATTACACCCTTCCTCCCCCAATCTGATGGCAGGATTTTTGCAGAACAAGAGAAGAGAAAATGTGTGCTGTAATCAATGATGAGAAAGTTATGATTAAGTATCTGAGATTAATTAGAAAACTCTTCACTACAAAATCTGTGTTTTTAACTGAACTAAGATAAATCTTAAGATTTTCTACTAGGGTAACAACATGAAATAAAAGTATGCTTTGAAGCTAAACAAGCAAGAAAAGAATTTATTTATTTTGCTTCATTTTAGAAAGAAGAAGTAAACGAATGTGGTGAAAGTATTGACAGAAATAATTTGAAGCGATCACAAAGCCATCTTCCTTACTTTACTCCTAAACCACCTCCAGATAGTGCAGTTATCAAAGCTGGATATTGTGTAAAACAAGGCGCAGTGGTGAGTAGCTTAATAAAATGTGTGAAATAATGAAAAATGAGTATGTACTAGCAAACTCTCATATTAACCTCCAGATTGTTTGCCCTATTTATGAAGGACCCAAAGTGAAAGACTAGCATGCTGAGAAGGGGAGTCAGGCAATAGAATAAATGTTTATACCTGAGTGCTGTTATTTACTGGGTCTGCGGGTGTGCCTGTTACCACTGACCTTCAGTTTAAATGAGCTTTCCTAACAGTTTAAATCTATTCCAGAAAGTTTTTCTGTTGATCCTCACCTCCTCACCTCAGGAGAGGGTTGAGAAAGAGCTCTAGAGGGGAGATGGCAGGCTAGAGGCATGGAGAAGTGGGACATGGAAGGATCCTTACTTGATTTGATATTGGGCTGACCTCAGTGGAAAGCTCTGTGACCTTGGGCTACTTACTTAACCTCTCAGATGCTCAGTTTCTTTTTTAAGGAAAATTATATTACAAAACCTACTGTCTAGAGGTTTTTTTTGGAAAGATATACATAAAAGAGGTGTAGCCCTTTGCGCAGCACCTGGCACTTAGCAAGAGCTATTATGGGGTTAGCCCAGATATTCCCACACAGTCTGCCCCATGATGGGAATGTCTGCAAGAGCAAGTAAATTTAGCAGTATTTCTAAGTTTCCAAAGTATCTTTCTAAAATTTAAGCCATTCTTTCTGTGTGAACTAAATCTATAGAATTTTATGAGAAAATAAACTTTAAAGTTTGAAAATAAAAGAAAAAAGTGTTTGCGAGCAAAGAAATACATAAAACTTTACTTGCAGTCCTGTTTGACTTCTCATCACTTTGTGGCCACTCTAATTCCCTTAACGTCAGCTAAGGGAAAGTTTTTTCAGTGCTGTTTGACCTTCTTTAGGCTAAGGGAAATGAAGGCTTGCACTGGAGGTTTCTCACTATAGAATTCTGCAGGCAGTCAGACTTCTCATCAGGCTATGACACTGAGTTGTATGTTAATTAGGGCTTTTAAGGAGACAGTCCTTCCTTTTTGTTTTACATCCAAAGTACCAGTCACTTAGAGATCTGTCAGTGCTTTCACAAAAACTGTATTTCATTGACAAAAGATATTTGTACAAAATAGGTTTATTTTATTAAATATTTACTGCTTTAATACTTTGTGTAAAGTACTTGTAGAAGGATTCATGCATTTTACAGACGGAGAAACTTGATGTGGTTTAATAACATTTCCTGTGCTTGCTCTTTACTTTGGAGGGGTGGGGAGGAAGGGGAAGTGCCTTTTTAAAAAAATTGTTAGAGCATTCAAAATAAGAAATCATATCATAAAAATCATATAATAAAGCTGAAAGCCGGCTACTAAAAGTTGAATTTGAAGTTCAATGCCTGAGTAGCAAAAGAGAGACAGGTTTCATTTATCTTCTCACTGAGAGAGGGTAGTGAGGTTTTCAGTGCTTGGCATTTCTGATTTGTGGGTTTATATCAAAATAATTAAGTGCTAATTAACATTTGACATTCTTAGAAACAGAAGTCTTATGTCTGTTCGTTCATCTTTGGTAGATGAAAAACTGGAAGAGAAGATATTTTCAATTGGATGAAAATACAATAGGCTACTTCAAATCTGAACTGGTATGTTGCTGTGTCTTAAATGTTGCTTTAAAAATATTTGAGAAGTGTTATGTTGTAGTGATTATATATAATTTCTTGTGCTTTTCTCTTTTTAGAATAATTACATTCTAGTTTTGAGAAGTACCTATAGTTCATTTTATTTTATTGTGATGCTTTTGGTTAATGGTATTTTTCTTAAGTACGTACATCTTAAATAAAACAGACTGTATCTTCAAAGACGCATTCTACCCTGAAAGGTCTAAAAATATCAGAACCCCCCAGTCTATAAATATTCTCTAAAGGAGCATGAAGTTGCTGGTGTAAAGAGTTAAGTCTCTAAACATCAGCATTTAATCCTCTGTGTTTCTGCCTCCTCTTCTCAGCCTTCTCTTGACATTTTCTTTTCCTGTTTCAGATTGACTCTTAAGTTGCTTCACATAAGATGTTTTTGTCCTATTTGAAGGTAGAATGAAAGATTGAAATTCCCTCTTTCACTTGTTTGGTAGCATCCTTATTTAAAATACTGTTGTTAGGCTACTGAGTCCTGCAATAGATTGTTGGATAAGTTGAATGCAGTTCTGTACTTTACATGTCTGTGTTTCCTCTTATTATTGTTTGGGACCTCTGAGAAGGGGGATCATATACTTTATTAGAATGAAGGCACCAGAACAGCATTGTCCAATAGAACTTTCTGCACAGGTGGAAATATTCCATATCTGTGTTGTCCAATACCACTGGCTACATGTGGCTGTTGAGCACTGGAAATGTGGCTAGGGTGACTGAGGAACTGACTATTTCATTTTATAACTAAAACTGATTTTATTTCATTTCATTAACTTAAATTTACAAAGTTTTGCATGGCTAGTAGCTAGTGGCTACTGTATTGGACAGCAGAGCTCTAGGTGATAGGAAGGGAATATTCTAAGATTCTCCTTAGATGTCAGCTGTTCTGGGAAGCTTTTGGATTCTGGGTTAAGGGTCCTCTCTTTTCATGTCCATGGTATCCTGTGCATACTTCTATCATAATGCTTCCACTATGTTTTATAATCACATGCATACTTATCTTTGTCACTAAATGAAATGAACTTCTTGAAGGTAAAGATTCTCTTGCACCCTTTTGTGAACATAGCTCCTGGCACTTGGTAGATAATCAATAAATGTTCTTGAATGAATGAAAAATGACATAGCATATTAAGAATAGCTATTTTAGCATGGGGACCTTTCTCATACTTCAAAGTGTAAGAGTCTCAACTTGAAGTAATAGTACTTGGTTCAAAAAGTACCAGCCTTGGTGTCTGAGAAGGCTACACATGTGCTTAGTTAGCAGGTTGACTCACTGATTTTAATTAATGCTAATGCTCTTGGGAAGAGTCATTCATGCAATAGACATTCACTGAGCTCTCCCTGACCCTGGCACACTGTTATGGGAAATGGATATAAAGAGAATAGTCAGTGGTAGTCTCTGGCTTTCAGGAGTTCTGTTTTTTTTTTTTCCTTTCCTTTCCTTTTTGTCTTTTTTCATGACCGGTAATGGGATCGTAACCCTCAGTTTCGTGCCTGTACCGTGACCGGCAACAGGATCGCAACCCTCGGTGTTGCGCCCGCACCGCGCTCAACCAGTGAGCGGACCGGTCTCTATATGGGATCCGAACCCTTGGCGGGAGCGCCGCACTCTACCGCGTGCGCCACCGGGCCGGTCTGGAGTTCTGTTTTGCCAGGGAAATTGCCATGTGACCCCATCACCAATGATAGTTTTAATATAATGAGATAAGAACTATTATAGAAATAGTTACTAAATTTTGAAAAGCTGAATGCTGAGCATTATGCTGTAAACTATGAGAGGAAGAATAGTGAACTATCATAGGTAGGGGAATTACACTTTGTGTAATTAGGAATGTGTTAAGTATTTAGAAAATGCAGATAAAACTGAAAACTTTAAGTATATTTATAATTATTGGCCTTTATCAATACTAAGATGCACAGGCTTCCCCCTCCACATTTTAACATTTCTGAAGTCTTAGTGTTGCTGGAGGTGAGGGGCAGCAGGCAGCTGCTGTGCTGCAGTTGTTACTGCTTACATGTGCACGGCACCTCTGGGTAAGATCTAGAAGACACCAGCATCAAAATGTGCAGAAAAGGATGCTGGCGGCTTGGAAGTAGGTACCAGGGACACCATGGAACATTCTTAAGAAATGCTGCATCACCAGCACTCTTTTTGACATGGAGTGAAAAACATGGACGTTGATGGCTCCAAGTCAGAAATGCTTCAGAAGAGCTGGAATTTGAATGTGAAGTTTTAAAAAGCCTTAACCAGTCAATTTTGTTTTTCTTTTTTATATATGCACAAGAATAATATATGATAATTTTTAAAAAATATAAACGGGCTCTTTTACAGAACCATTTTATCATGGAAAAGTGTCATCATACAGTAAGTAGAGTAGTATATGGAACCTTGTGTACCCGTCCCCTAGATTTCATAATTATCAACATGTGGCCCATCTTGTTTCTTCTGTTTCTCTACCTACTACCTCCTTCATATTTTGAAGCAAATCCTAGGTGCCTCATCATTTCATCTGTAAATATTTCTGTATGTATCTCTAAAAGGTAATTTTAAAGTTTCTTCAATAAGTATAAAAGATTTAAGTGCACAACTGAAAAATCGATGAAAACATCTGCAGCACATATTGGAGATATAAATGTTAACATTCCTAATATATAAAGAATCTTAAAAATTGAGGGGATTCTTCCTCATCCTCTTTGCCTTCTTTTTCTTCCATCAATTCTAAATAAATCAGACCCAGATATATTAGGTGAGGCAAAGCAATGTAGATGTCTCTGGTTGGGGGGCCAGGAGTAACCAGCATAGCCTGGTGTGGGCAGTCAGAGCCTAGGCTGGATGATTAGCCCAGCATGGGGTAGGAGAGGATAGCTTCCACAGGGGAAGAGAATAAAATCAGGATATGCATTAGGATAATGGAAGCCAAGTTTCTTGCTGGCAAAGAAGGGAGTAACAAATATGGAAAAGGAGGAAGTATTGGTATTAGATTGGAAATGGATATGTTGATTTGACTTTTAATATACAAAGGTAGATATAGAAATATAGATATAAATGTATTCACGTGTTTATGTATCTAGATGTATATAATATACTCCCTAGTGGTGTGCACTGAGAAAATTACCATTTTCCACTGAGGAAAACCTGAGCTTCATGGAGAAATGGCAGATTCCAGAGGTGGGACAAGAGAAATAAATGTAAGATGAGTCTGGAATGTCTTGTGTCAGAAAGCAAGGAAGTGCTCACAGAATGATAGGGATATGTAAAAAGACCCAAAAGCCAATTTGAAAATGTTCCTCTTCATCAAATTTGTGACAATTTTAGCATCAAAATAAACAATGATGATTACAGATTACAGCCCACAGAATAAAATAGGAACCCATGAGCCCATACAGATATAAATAAAAACTTGAATGGGGACTGAATGAATGTATGATGAGAAATGAGATAGTTACATAGTTTCAACATACCTGTCTATAAAATAGATATTAAATGCAAGGGGAAAAAGAGTAACTTTATAGTGAAGAAAACCTGGTAGATTCCACTTTAATCAGGTAGTCAGATGATTAAAATGAACTTCATTGGTGATGAGAGAAATTGAAATCATTGACCACGTGACAGGATTGCATGAGAAGAATGCAGCATCACTTCTGTGATACTCCTGCCAAAGGTGCATAACCTGAATCTAATCACGAGGAAACATCTGGCACGCCCAAGTGAGGGACATTCTACAAAATAACTGCCTTGTAATCTTCAAAAGAGTCGAGGTTATGAAAGTCAAGGAAAGAATCAGGAACTCTTCCAGAATAAAGGAAAGAGATGTGACTAGAAGATGGAGTTTTCTGGACTCTATTCTGGACTGAATCCTTTTGCTCTAATAAAAGACATTTGGGGACAATTTCCCCAAAATGGTTGTGCTGTGATTTTATAAGAGGATGTCTTTGTAGGAAACGCACAGTAAAGTATTCGGGAGTAGTATGGGCCAGGTCAGCAACTCACTCTGAAATGGTTTGGGAAAATCAGTTCTCTGAACTGCATTTTCACCTTTTGTCTAAATTTGTGATTGTTTCAAAGTTTAAAAAAAGAAAATTGAGGGGAAAATATTTGGTAGGAAAATGAGCAAAAGACATGAATAGACAATTTATTTAAAAAGAAATTAACATGGCCCTTAAATTAAAGTGGCCCTTATTTTATATTAAAATATAAAAAGAGATTCAGCATCACTCATAAATAGGGAAATGCAAATTAAAACTTCGCTGAAGTATTACTTATCTATCATGAGAAGGCCGTGGCCGAACGAAGAGACTGGCAAATGTTCTCCTTCTAAAGCAACTATAAATGCTGTTCTGTAAACAAAATGAACCAGGACCCCTTGGGGAAATGACTGATTTCAGAGCTGGGGAAGGTAAAGTACAAGCTGAGACCTGAACATCTAGTTGTGCCAGAAAATAAGGAAGTGGCCCAGAGAATGATGGGGACATGTCGGAAGGACACAGAAGCCAGCTTGAAGGGGCTTCCAATGTCCAAAACTCAGACATTTTAAGCAACAGAATAAATGACAATAATGGCTTATAACCCATACAATAAAACAAATTGTGAATGAATAAATGGAAAAGGAAAAGCATTTCCTTAGAGTAAAATTTCAGCTTAGATGCTGATGGATTGAAGGGGTTAGAAAAATCACCATTTGGCAACAACTGTGCTAATAATGGTTTCAAGTAGGAATCCTCAATGTTTGGTAAAACTAGTGTGTAAAATTATGATGGGAAACTGGGTATTACATTGGTTCCAACTATCTCCCCACAAGATACTTAACACTGACAAAGGGAAAAAGTAACTTTACAGTTACTGGCAAACCTGACTTTCGGCAGGAGATCAGAGTTAACACACTAGTAATGGGACATAGCACCATCATATGCCTCCTGATAATGATGCACTGAAATGTCTGTGGTTTCCTGTCAAGAATATGTAACCTGACTCTCAGCACAAACATCAGACACACCCAAACTGGTAGACATTCTACAAAATAACTGGCCTGGACTTTTTAAAACTCTAAGATCATGAAAGAGAAATAAGGACTGAAGAACTGTTCCACATAAGGGAGACTAAGAGACATAACTAAAGAAAAGGTATGATCCTGGATTGAACCTTGGATCAGAAAATAGGTAGTAAAGGTACATTGTATCTACAGCTTGCCTTCAGACATTTCAGGAAAAATATATATACTCACATAAATATTCATATACACATATACAAACAGTGATAAAGCAAATGTAAAATATTAACATCTTAGAAAACAAGGTACAAGCAAGGTTTATAGAAATTCATTCTACTATTTTTGTAAGTCTCCTATAGTCTGAAATTATAGGTATTTCAAAATAAAACTAATATTTTGTAAAACTTTAAAAAAAAGATTTGAGATTTAAAAAAAAGTGTTCTGTCATAATTTGGTGCTATATAATGGTATGTCTTAATCTGATAGTATCATATTTAATGAAATATGTAGATTGTACTTCATGGAATGTATAGCATAAATGCTGTTAGCAACCAGTTATGTCTCATATTTGTACCTTATGTTTATTTTTGTAACCTTAGGTGAGGTACTTACATATCCAGTCCTCAGCTTTCTCAGGTGAATAATAGTTCTGTGTATGTATTGTAGGGTTGTGAAAGTGTGAGATAAGACATTTAAATCCTAGCAGATGTTTCAGCACTTAGTAAATGTTCAATAAATGGTGCTTGTTAAAATAATGTATTCATATAGAAGTGATTAGTAAAGTGACAGATTTAAGTCACAGAAGCTGGATGTCCACTGCTCTGGTGCCTTGTATTTCAATGTGACATTCCAAAAAGAGGAAGTACTGCACTTTTTGGTACACATGGGTCCATCGGGGAAAGTGATGGTTAGTGGATTTTAATAAACTACAGTGCCATTAAGGCCAGAAATACTGTGAATAAGGGTTACAGGGTATTTTAAAAAGTTTGTAGAAAGATTCGTATTATCTTTTAATTCTGTTTTTCCGTAAACTTTTTTGAGTATGCTCATATATGAAGTTTCCTTGTTTCAAACAACAGTGTATATAAGGCTATAGTATTTGAACTGTTCTGATGCTGGATGGTTTAAGAAGGTATATTTATGTTTTAGATGTACTTCAAGATAGAAGCATAATTTTTATGTAGGTTTCCAAGTAAGATAAGGATTTTAAGAGTAAATGTCATGTATCTGTTTGTTTGCTTTTTTGCCAGGAAAAGGAACCTCTCCGTGTAATACCACTTAAAGAGGTTCATAAAGTCCAGGAATGTAAGCAAAGGTAAGGAACGGCTCTTACAGAACTTACTAATTCAAATAGTGCCTTAGTTTAATTCATGTGTTTATGAATTTTTCTTTATTAGTTTTAGTGTTATTTTTAATGGAAAGGAAAAAGCTTAATATGAACAACGTATATCATCAGATTTGACAAATCAATGTATTATTAATTTAGCATTTCAAAGGTGCTGCAGAACAGAGCTTTGAAGGAAAATGTGTTAGCTGTGCCAGTATTTTTTTGAGCAAACTGATTTCTTCACAGTTAAAAACTTTGAACTTGAAAGTTGCTTTAGGACCCTTTTCTGAAACTATAACTACCTAAAATATGTAAAATGTAATGTAAAAAACCCCCAAATAGATGGAAAAAGATTTTAATTTGGTTTTGTTAAATAAGTGTTTTACCTCTAATATTTATTTATTGACATATGTGGTACTGGGTAAACAAGTGAAAGAAAAATATCAGACAGCTGCTATTTAAGTACAATTGGATAATTTTTCTTTTTTTAATGACAGTGACATAATGATGAGAGACAATCTCTTTGAAATTGTAACAACATCTCGAACTTTCTATGTGCAGGTAAGATACTTATTTGGAGATTATACATCCTCCTAATGAGACATTAACAATTTTAGAGGTAAAATAAACATAAACATTGCTTTTGAGATTAAAACTTCCAACTTGGGCCGGCCTGGTGGCGCACTGGAGAGTGCGCCGCTTGGGAGCGCGGCGGCGCTCCCGCCGAGGGTTCGGATCCCATGTGGAGACCGGTTCCCGCTCACTGGTTGAGCGCGGTGCGGGCGCAACACCGAGGGTTGCGATCCCGTTGCCGGTCCCCGGTACGGGCGCGACACGGAGGGTTGCGATCCCGTTACCGGTCAGTAAAAAGACAAAAAGGAAAAAAAAAAACTTCCAACTTAATGAAAGGTTATATGTGGTAGTTTATATGTTCAGGAAATGGTGGTATTCTTTGTTATTAATTAGTGAAACAGGACCAAGTAGTATTTGGAGGAAGGGGAGTGCTATTTTAACTTAGATGTTAAATATGTGACTTCAAATTTTGCACATATTTTAGAATTTTGATTTATCTATTGAATCATTTCTTAGTAATTTGTGGGGCTCAAATACTCATAATAAAAATAGGCAGTAGATCTTACAGTTTCACTAATGGTAGGCATCCTGTACTTAAGTTTAAAATGTACTTTTTGCTTACCACAGTGAATCATTTAAATAGAAAGTTTTTTAAAAGAACATTTGTTTTTGTTTTATAAAAGTTACATATGCTTATTGCAGAAAGTTTGGAAAATGTAGAAAAACATTAAGAAAAAAGTGGTTTATAAAACACATAATCCCATATTTAGGCAACCATTCTTATTTTTATGCTGCCTTTCTTAAAGCATATCTTTTATAATAGGTGGGGTCATACAAAGTATATTATTATGTCCTATTTGTTTTATATATCGTGGTCATTTCCCCCCATATTATTAAACATTCTTTGAAAACCTTTTAGAACGACACCATACTCCATTGTACGGACATTCTGTTACTGAACATCAATTTACATAGTTTTCATACATTTGCTATGATAAATTATGTGGTAATGAACATCTTTGTGCATAAATTGGCCTGAATTTCTCATTTCTTTAGGATAAGTTTCTAAATCAAGATTAAATATAAGAGTAAGAACCTTTTTATTTTGTCAAATTAATTTCTAGAATTGTGTTTCTATTAGCAATGAGTGAAAGTATAATCTACCTTTGCTTGCTTCAAGATTTTTCTTTTAAAATGTCTTTGTTAATGTTATTGGTTTTAAAATATTATCCTGTACCTTCACATTTTTTACTTCTAGATTCTAGAACTAGATTCTAGAAGTAAGGGATTCTAGAATTCTAGAATCTGGAAGTAAGGGGGCAGTATCTCTGCACCCTTCTCAGGGCCTTGTTTAACTGGATTAATTTTATAGTAAGGTTTTAGATTCACATTGGAAGCCATATCAAGGAACATGATACTTTGGAATATGACTATCAACATTTCTTTTAGGATTTAGGGTACTACTGGGAATTATTTCTAGAAAAATGATATGTAAAATGATGTCAAAATGTTTTTAAAATTACACAAGTACATTAAAGTACATAAAGTACAAGCAGCAGATTTTGACAGTGTAGCAGTATGTACAGCGAATGAGAAAGGCCTTCTTTGACTGCTTCCTCTCATTTTCTCTGCAGGAGTGTTCATTATTGATACTTTTTGATGTGTCTAATCTTAAAGCATTAAATGTCCAATTCGTGGCTCTGTATAGCAACTTAGCCAGCAAAACCTGGTTTGAAAAAGTGATATATAAAATTTGGGAGAAACTATTGCCTTAGGATGATTTTGTTGGTGACAGTATGCGTTACCAAAATAAGTACGTTGGAATTACAGAAGCAGTAGGTGATTTTGAGGAAAAATGAACTGAATGAGTCCTTTCTTCCCTTTAGGCTGATAGCCCTGAAGAGATGCACAGCTGGATTAAAGCGGTCTCTGGCGCTATTGTAGCACAGCGGGGCCCCGGCAGATCAACATCTGCTGTAGGTTTCCTGCTCTCTGGGGTGATACTCCTGTGGGTCCTTCCCATCCTGTTGTTTTTCTTCCTTCCCCCTAATCCTTCTGGTTTCTTTCTTCATTGAGATTGATTTGCATGTTGACTTTCATACCAATTGGACTTGCAGAAAATAATGCATTTCTAATTTAATGCTTCCTTGTAGTGTATGTATACATAACTTTCTGTGCATTGTATTGTGTTAAATGCACAAGCAGGGCAACTAAAGAATAAACATTTCCTTGCTTTGTTTTAGGAATTCTTACTTGTCGGTAGGTCTAGGTTTGGTATAATTTGACAGGTCTGTGACCTCGCCATGTAAGGCACCTTTAGTTGTAGCATTACACAGTTTAGTGAATGTCTGTTTCCTCTTTGCTTCCTCTAATTTCAGTTAAGGTTTTTTGGCTTTGGTTTTTGTACTTTTAATATGCCATAAAACCACTGAATAGCTGGAGCCTTAAATGCAATTTAATGCTCTCAGTCTGTATTTTTCATTTCATGTTTTCATTCTCATTTTCTAGTGGGTTGATTTAAAAGCCTGCTTCTGAAAACTACCATAATCTTTATGGTAGTATGGTAAAATCGAAACAACTAAACCTTCTATTCAGAAATAGTAAGAAAAATGTTTTTTATTTATCATATTCAAGTACATTATAGGAATTAGATTTGGCTTTTGAATACATTGGCCACTGGTCTCTTATCTGAAAATACAAATTCTAATGAGGAATTAAAAATTGTAAAGTGTCTTAAAATGTTGCACTGTCATTTGCAGAAAGTAGTCTAATATATAGCATGATAGTGTTTTTTTAACCTAAATTCATTATAAATGCTAGATGTTGTGTACTTTTAATATTTTTCCTGGTAGTAATATGGTAATGATATTCCTTTGATAGTTTTGTGGTAGTTATAACTACAGATCAGTAAATAGAAATCCATTTTTCTCACTTCTTAATTGTTTAAGTCGTTCTTCGTATATCGTGTTTGGAATATCTAAGAAGTCACTTTCATAGGAGTTAACTTTGTAACTGCCTATATTTTATGTGACTTTTTCAACAGTGAAGTATGAGACTCTCTGCAAAAACAATGTCTGTTGGGAAGAGGAAAAGTTGGAGAAGGGCGTTTGTGTTTTGTGCTTTGTGGTGGGGGCAAATTGGACTATCTAGCTGTGACTATCAGCAGAACTTTCTCTTTTCCTCCCTCTCCCCAGTATAGGTTAACTCTAATCTTAGCTTTGCACTGTGTTCCAGATGCGGCAGGCCAGAAGGCTGTCGAATCCTTGTATACAGAGGTATACATCAAGAACTGGTGAATGCAGAATGTATGTGGGCTCTCACGCAAACGTGCCTTCTTAGTAGAGGGCCCGGACTTACTCACTACTTACAACTGATCATAGAAAGTTGAGTTAACCAAACTGCCTTCTGCAGTTATCATAACTGATTTTCTCAACACTAACACAAACTATTTCACTATAGTCATTAGGTTGGATGTGTGTATTAAAAAAAAAAAGATTAAGAAAATACAACTTTACTAATGGAAAGTGACATTACTCCAGCTTCTAAAAATTAATTTCCTGAATTGCTGCAAGAGTTTCAATTTCTATATTTTATGTATTTTGAGATTTTTTTTAATACTACAACACTTGAAATGCACCATTGTTCTAATAGTATATGCAAACTCACGCATGCATATGCATTGGATAAACTGTATATTACTGTAGTTTGCACGGCATTTTAAATCTCTGGTGAAATTTAGCCATGTGATAGGACTCTGTAGTGTTTTGGTAATTTGTAGCACTTTGTTTTCAAAGCCACTAGTATCATAAGTGAACACAATATACTAGGAACTATATGGCAATGCATTTAGAATGGTCATATTTAAGGATATCTTCAGATTTTATCTAGTTAGAAGCATATTGAAATTAATGTTCACAACTGATAATTATTTCAGCACAATTTTAAAAATGATTAAATATGTGCTCTTCGTTACCTTTAAAATCTTAAACCAAATGAATGTATGATATATTCAAAACTAAATAAATGAAATTAAATACAAAGTGAAGACTATGCTTTTATTGGTTGCAGTGAAATTCAGGGAAGCAGAAACTAAATTTTGTCAGACTGCCCGACAAAATGTTTGAAAAATGTTGATTCCTGCTTATTAAAGAAATATGGCCTTTCATTTTTATATTCTGCATTTTCACTTTTTATCTTTCTAAAATATTTGGGATAATTTTTAGTGTTGATCGAGAATATCAAATAAAATGATAAAACTGGTAGGCCCCCTTTTAAACACAGTTCAGTTGCAATTGGAGCACTATATTTCAGTCTAGGCTGGCTGAGTCTTCAAAGTGTCATAAGCTGCCAAATTCTGCTTTGGTGACAGAACTGGTTTCCTAGTGGAAATGGTTATTGGCTGTCTTTGCTTTAAACTCACTCTTAAAAATGCATTGCTTTGGGAAAGAACTTGCACATTTATGCTGCATGGCTCATGCTTCTGCTTTGTATGTGCGTGTGTGTATGTGTTTTGTTTGTTTTTCAGAGAATCAAGTCTCACACTGAGTTACTAACCTTGTCATTAATGATTGACTATGTCTGACCACCACTCCTCTTTACAGGAGCATTCCAACTGTCCTTCAGAATCCAAACACACTTTCCGTCCTGCCAGTGCAGCAGCAGCCCCCTCACATTCCACAGCCTCTCGCAGCAACTCTTTGGTCTCAAGCTTTACCATGGAGAAGCGAGGATTTTACGAATCTCTTGCCAAGGTCAAGCCAGGGAACTTCAAGGTCCAGACTGTCTCTGCAAGAGAACCAGCTTCCAAAGTGACTGAACAAGCTCTGCTAAAACCTCAAAGTAAAAACGGCCCTCAGGAAAAAGACTGTGACCTGGTGGACTTGGATGATGTGAGCCTTCCAGTCAGTGATGTGTAGGATGGAAGCGTATGGAGCCTGCCCCCACCCCCATCTCAGTTCCTTTCATGAGGCGTCTAGCCAAAGATGATAAAGGGTGAAGTGGTTTTTAATGCATATACTGCCTCTTAGATGTACTCTTTATAAGCTGGTAAACCAAGAATCTAGGGAGTGGCCAAACTGAATATAATTTCGTTAAAAAAAAGAAAAAGGAAAAACCTAAGTGTCTCAGTATCATCTGTCTGAAGCTTTGTGTGTTCTTATTTGGGTGGTAAAGATGTGTGTGATATTTTTTTCCTAGTGACTTTGATAGTTTAAATGTTTAACAACTTAAAACGTTAAAAATGCTTATTAATTATTTTGGTCATTTAAAAAATGCTACTAGGACTTCCTATTAAATGTTTAATATTTACACATTCTTATTGGTTAATATTATCAAATGAAATATTGCCAGACTAAGATACCTAAAATCATGATGTCTGTGGTGCTGTAAAATGTATACTACAATGTGGACTGTTTTGAAATCAAAATCATTTTTGATGTTCTGGGTCTCAAGATGAGTGGTAAATTTTGCACAGAGGTTATTATTAGATCATTGGTGAGGGTTATGGGTTGTACTGCGGTAGAGAAAAGGGGAAAATTAGAATTCAAACAACTGCATCTTAGACATTTGTTTGAAAAACCTTAATCAAGACTTGCAGCAGTCAGTGCTTTATTTAGTGAAAATTATTTGGTAGGAAATTTGGGAGATCTGATTTTTTTTATCCAAGTTTTGTAAGTAGTTCTTATTGCTATATTTGGATCAGTGAAAGACCTCAAGTTTATATGTAAGGACATAATGGCCCTTAGTCATGAAATTGTTGTGGCCTCTGCTCTGTCATTAATAACCTATATTCAAGTGCCTGTGTTTTTTCATCTTGTTTAGGAATATTTTGAAATTAATGTGCCCAAAAGTCCTACATGATTGGTTTTAAACATTGGGATAAAATTAATTTTCAGTAGCATAGTTTAATGTGTTAAATAAGGTAGCATTTTGTGTTAGAGATACCAGAATGCTGGTATTCTACTACCTGTGCAATATATATGTTTTAAAAAACAAATTTGAGTATACATTTAATCAGTAGGATACCATAAATATAAGCACCTCTCTAAAGAATCCTTAGTTTCAGGTGTTGAATTAAAGACTGGTTTTTTGGGCAAGTACCATTTTTGTGGTTCAATCTTAAACATTTGCTTTAAGAAAATGGTCTTGAATTTTACATGCTGCTATTTTTATATTTTGCCATTTTACAGTACTCTTGTTTTGAATTCATACGTATCACTGTTTCTCCCTTTCATTTTCTAAGATGACTTTTTGTCTGAGAGAAAGAGAGAGGGAAATTACTGACTGCAGTGGTGGGGTCCAGAGGTTAGGATGATATAATATACTAGAATTACACAGTATCAGTTTAAAACTCCATATGCATAAAGAACGCACCACTCAACGTTTTCTGTTCATAAGCTAATATATTTAAAAAGTTATGTTTAGATTTTTTTCTCTTGCAGCTACATTTGAAAATGATAGAATGAAGAGGGTTTAACTAGTTATTTTTTCTGCTGATATACATTATAATGGCTCTTTTGAAAGTTACTTTTCTATGAACACACCTAAGAAACCTTGTATAGACACTTTGCAATATTCAAAAGCCTAATGCTGTTTTCTTTGGTACAGCTTCCACATTGCATGTCCAGTCCATTTTAGCATATTTTGGTATTGGCAATTTGATATATTTCATGGTGGCAAATTATTAGCTCTATTTTGGGACTTTTTATAGAACTACCCTTATTAAATAGCATAGGAAAATGTTCTTGTGATTTTCAGGGTCTCCTAATATTTATCTCAATTCTTTTATAAGTCAATGGAAATTATTTAATTATTTTAAAACTTACACTTTTCTTGTAAATATGTCACATCTGAATCGTCAAAAAATTACTTTGAATACCTTAATATTTGCTGCATTTTGTTTTTTGTATATAATATCATGTCTTCTTTCAGGATGGGAATATGCGTATCTCCCAATGTTTACTGTTACGTCTGTTATCTTTATATGTCATATTGGTTGAACACTGTAATGACTTGAGAATAAATTACTCAAAATTCATTCTAACATTTCTCATTTTGTTTGGTTCAGCTCTTGTGTGAATGTGTAAATAAAACCAGTACAGAATGTGTTTGGTTAATTGACTTGAATTTACATGTTTAAGGACAGTAATTATTTGGTAACCTTTGAAGGAATAAGACATTTCAGATCTGTGAATTTTAAGGCATAGCTTTTTATGTGAAATTGTTTAAGGAAAGTTTTTTTTTTTGAAAAAGCTTGCTTATTTTACTTAATTAAAAGACATGTTCTCAAGAGCAAAATTAAATATGTTGGCTTCACAGCATAGTTTGAATCATCTGGGCTGCCTACGGAGGTTGGTTATTGGTTAGACTGGGCACGAAGTAAGGCTGAAGGCAGAGGGCATTTTGGTCCCCAGGTGAGCTTTTGAGATGCACTCATAAAAAACCACGTCAAGTGTTAAGGCTGCTGCTTGCTACATTTTCCTATTGACAGTAAATGTTCCATGTCTGCTGTGAACACTGTACCCAGAGCCTAGCACAGTGTCTGGAGCACAGGTGTAAAGTTTAAGTACTTCTTGAACGAGTGAGGACAGGACACTAATGTAGAGTGTATGAACTTTACACTTTGGAGAATAGTGTATCCCTATTCTCTTTGAAATGTAAATCATTCTTTTGAAATTCTGGAATATTCTCTGTACAAAGAAACTTTCAGTGATTTTAGATGTCTCCTTTTACTCCTTGTGTCTAGTCCGTTGTCAAATCCTGCTGCTTTTGCCTCATATCTTCATATCCTATCATCTGAAGTGCAGCCAAGAATGACTTTGAGCCAGTGTCTGTTCTCACCTGTTCATGTACCATTGACCTCCTGTGATACCACCCTTTTCCTGTCATTGCTCAGGGCAGGCATCAAAGTGATGATCTTGATCTGTTGCCTTTTTTTTTTTTTTTTTTTTTTAACAAAAGCTGAGTGACGTCTTAAAGCTTAGTTAGTCCAAGCTCCTGCCATGAGTGCTAGCTGAAAGAAATTGAGACCCCCAGGAAGGAAGAAGAGCTACACTGGCCCCTGGGGCAAGTTAGCAACAAAGCCAGAACTTTTGGCTTCTCACTGTTCTTGAGGATATCATTAAGATCCTTACCTTGGGGTTGGCTAGAGTAACCAGGCCAAATACACCAGTTTCCTAACGCCTTATGGGCGTTCCTTCTCTCCCAAACGTATCCACTTAGTGTTCTGTTCTTTTTCTCCTAATATCTCACCCCAAGGCCATTTATTTTTATTATTATTATTATTATTTTTTGTCTTTTTTTCTGTGTCCGGCAACGGATCACAACCCTCAGTGTTGCCCCCGTACCGGACCGGGACCGGCAACGGGATCGCAACCCTCGGTGTTGCCCCTGTGCCTCACTCAGCCAGTGAGCGGGAACCGGTCTGTATGTGGGATCCGAACCCTCGGCGGGAGCGCAGCCGCACTTCCCAAGCGGCGCACTAGCGCAGTGCGCCACCGGGCTGGCCCCCCAAGGCCATTTATTCTCTGAAATATCTTAAAAACCTTAGGCCCTCAGGTCTCTTTGTTCAAATGACTTGTGAAAGTCACCCATGAAACTGCAGCTTTTCTTAGTATGTGTGGTCTAATTTGCTGCTCCTACCTCTTGGAACTTATTTGCCCTAGAATGCAAGGACCTTGAGGTTTGGGTCTGTGTGTTTCATCTGTTAGGTTTTCTATGGTTTCTATTACACCGTGGATATTTTATGTTTGATAATCTTACACATAATATATTCAACACTTTTAAGAAGGGAAATATTTATTATTTGGGAAGAGTTTTAATTATTTCCAAGATCTTCTAAGTTTAGCAAATGAGGTTTTAATTTTTTATTAGGTCCTTGTCCATTTAGTTTTCTAAAAGATTGAGATTTTCTTATCCAAAGTATCATTGCATGCATAAGCCATATTTCTTTGGTTCACCACATGCATGAGAGACAATTACAGCCTGGGTAATAATTTGGCCAGAGCCTCCCTGGGCACCTCATTATTACCATCAGGTTTGTCTCCTACTGCTGTAGTCTTGATGCCTTCGTGTTGCTCTAAATAAGTAGCTGTGTTTTATGGAAGAATAATTTTTATTTAAAGCTTATTCATGGACATTTTGTCCATTTTTGAAAAGATCTTTAATTTGACTATTAAAATTAGACTAACAATACACAGTTAAAGCAAAAATATTGCCTTTTGCTTATTAAAAGTTTCTTTCTGCCTTAGTTTCTCACGTTAATCTGTGTGCAATGGCTGCCTTAAACTAGGAGTCATGGGGCCTCGGTTGAGCTTCAGCTATGCTATGTCTGACTTTAGGTAAGTGTCTAAGCCTTTTGGAATCTCCCTTTCTACATTTTGTAAATTTAACTGATGCAAGCTAATTTTCTTCCCTCGAAAAGTATTTTAAGTGTTAAAGAAACCCAAAACGAGACAGAAAAGCTCTAAACTTTTTTGTTGCTTTAACCAAAAAGACATCCCTTCCTCAGTTTTCCTTTTACTTCTAGCTTCAGTTCAGGAATGTTCTTTAAATGGTGCTCGTACCTTTAAAACGTTCTATTAACAGTTGGTGAGGCAGGAAACATATGTATCAAAAATGCAAAGATCTAACAGCTTAATACCAAATCTTCCTTGTGTTTGGTAAGGTTTGGCAGTACATATGTGTGCATGTGTATTTGGAAGTTCATATATGACATGATGAAAAGTACAATTACCTAGATGGATTTGTATTTTCCGTTTGCTACCTTCCATGTCTTCATGATCCATGTCTATTTTTTAATGATTTATGAAAATTATATTTTTAAACCTCAAGTAATACATGTATTGAAAATACTGCTGAATTGAGGTTAGTGTTTACAATTTTGATTGATGAAATCCTAGTATTCCATTTTTATGACTAAGTGAATAGTGCCTTACTAATAGTGCCTTATATTCATGTGGTAATAGCGCCGCCTTCTGGTTGTGTCATTGCTAAATTTAAAATAATTTGGAGTCCTTTTCACTGTTTATTTCACCTGTATCATATAAAATTAGCAAAGATATGTGATTGCCTAGGATAGCTTTGGAATTAAATTTAAACTAACACGAATTACTTTTTAAATTAAACTTTTTATTCGGAGATAATTTTAGATTCACATGTAGTTCTAAGAAATAATACAGAGAGATCTGGTGTACCCTTTACTCAGTTTTCCCAATGATAACATCTTGAAAAAACTGTAACACAATATTATAACCAGGATATTGACACTGGTACAGTCAAGATACAGAACAGTTCCATCATCACAAAGATCCCTCAGTGTCGCCTTTTCATAGTCACATTTGTCTCCCATTTTATAAGTTTGGAAACAGACTTAGTCACATGCCCATAGTCACATTAGGTTTAAGATGAAATCTTTTTGAGACCAAAATTTGGTCTTTTAACCACTATGGGATTACTGCCTCAGTAGGAGTCTTGAAAACTACTCCTTACTTTTATCATATTTTCTCCAGATTACTAAATGAGTTGAATTTTCCTTCAATCTGTTTTTAACATTTCTAGAGCCCTAATATTTCACACGACAGATTCTTTATACATGCCTTTAAATGCTAGTTAACATTTGAGAATCAGTAATAGGTAAGCATCCTGATCATAACTTCCCTGAAAGATTTCAAGCCCTGACATTTGACATTATATAAATTAATAAGGTCATCAAAATAAATAATAGTATTTAAGTAAAATAATTAGATTAAAATAGCTTTAGGATGACAAATTCTTGCGCTGGAAACAGTTGTAGAGACTAGTTATAAAGATAATCACTTGGTGTAGGTTAAGAGTGAGGTGTTTTTCCATGTGAAGAAGATTTGACTTTCTGATAAAGTCTGGTTGAAATCAGTGTCTTCAGTGTAGAACACGGAGCACACAGGAGGCCTAAGAAGGTGATGAAGATGACCACAGGAATTTGTGGTTGTCTTCAAAAGAAGTATAAAGTGCGATATGTAATAAAATCTAGCATGGAAAACTACAGTGGCCTGGAAAACCGCACATCCAGAGGCTGGGGTAGACAATGAATGGAGGGCTGCGTGAGAGAAGCATTGTGGTGCACGGGCCTTTAGAAAGTCCCTGAAGAGGAAGAGGTACTTCTATGTAAAAACTACGTGACATGACAAATTGGTAAGTGTTGATTGGGGATTTGAAGGGTCCAAGTTGGTGCATGGAATTTAAATCGTTCTTTTAAAGGTTCTTTGCTTCTTTCTCCCTTCCAGACTATGGTACTTGTACCTCTCATGCTAGTTTTCTTTAGCAGGGAGGGAGGAAGTGGGGTGGGGAATGTGGGGAACTTTCCACGATTCAGGAGCTTACCACATCAGCCTAACTGTTTTTTGCCTGTCCGTGGTACCTTTGTGATAGGAACATAATCTATTCCCTGTGGAAACTTACTGTTATTTCCGAATAGGGGCCTTTGGTCCCAGTGACATCTTCTTGATGACTTTTTTTTTTTTTTTTTTTTTTGTTTTTTTTTTTTTTTC